TCCCCCGGCCCCCCCTTCCCCCCCCCCCAACCTTTTTTTCCTTTCAATGTGTGGGGCATGGTTGGGGGGGTTTGGGGGGGGGGGGGCCTTTGGGACGGGGGGGGGGGGGGTTGGGAATGGATTTTCCCCCCCAAAAAAAAGGGGGGGGGGGGGGGGGTGGGTGGTTTGGGGGGGGTTTAGGGGGGTGGGGGGGGGTAGGCGGGGGGATGGGGGTGGCGTTTTGGGGGTTGGGGGGGGATAGGGGGGGGGGGGGGGGGGTTTTGGGGGAGGAGGGAGGGTGGGTGGGGGGGGGGGGGGGGGGAGGGGGGGGGGAGGCGGGGAGGGGGGTTTGGGGGAGGATGGGGGGGGGGAGGGGGGGGGGGGGGGGTGGGCGGGAGGAGGGGGGGGGGGGGGGGGGAGGGGGGGGGGGGGAGGAGGGGGGGGGGGGATGGAGGGGTGGGTAGGGGGGTTTGGGGGGGTGGGGGGGCAAAGGGGTGGGGGGGGTGGCGGGAGGGAGGAGGGGGGAGGGGGGTCCCGGGGAGGGGGGTCATGGGGGGGGGGCCCAAAAGGGTGGGGGGGGGAAAGGTGGAGGGGTTTAAAGGTGGGGGGGCCCCAAAGAAGGGGGAGGTTTAAGGGAAAGGGGGGGTTTACGAAGGGGGGCCCCAATAGGGGGGGGGCCCCATAGGGTGGGGGGAGGATAAAGGGGGTTTGCAAGGTGGGGGGGGGTATAGGGGGAGGGGGGTTTCCAAGGGGAGGGGTTTCCTATCAAGGTGGAGCTAGGGGGGAGGGGGGGCCCCTATAAAGGTGGGGGCAAAGGGGGAGGGGGGCCTTAAAGGGGGGGAAAAAGGGTGGGGGGAAAGGTTTCCTAAAAGGGGGTTTCAAGGGGGAAGGGGTCCTATAAGGTGGGGGCAAGGGGGGGGAGGAGGTCCCTTAAAAGTGGGGTTTTCCGGGGGGGGGTTTTCCCGGAAATATAAAACCCTATTTTTTTTTTCAGTTGAAAAAAGTTTCCTGTCAAAAAAAAGGGGCTGGGGTTTTTAAAAATTTGGGGCCCCCTGGGTTTTGAGTTGAAAAAGGGTTTTACCCCCCCGGGTGCCCGGGTAAGTCGGGGCCCCTCCAAATTTTTAAACCCCAGACCAAAATGTCCGTCACAAAGGGGGGTTTTTTTTGGGCCCCCCCCCCAAACTATTCTGTTGGGGCCTACGGGGAACGGTCCCCAGTGTTTTGCAAAGTACGTTTGGGGGGGTCTTTTGGGTGGACACCTGCTCCTAAAAAGGCTTTTAACAATAATACTCTGCCGTCCCTGATTGGGAGATTGATGTTTTTGGTTTTTTTTATGTTTGTGAGGGTTCATTTATTTGAGGTTGGGTTAAATGGATTTTTTGTAGTTATTGAATTTTTAAAAATTTTTAAAAATAATGGATTTTGAAAGGGATTAAAAAGGCTATTATTTCCTTGGGGAACCCTTGGGGCCCAACATCCGTTTTAAAACAGCCCGGGTTTAAAACCGGGAATTTAAAAAACCTTTAAAACCCCACATCTTCGGGGGAAAAAAGGGGGTTTTTAGCCCCGGGCCCGTCAAAAACAGAAAAAACCCCTTAAAACACCACCCTGCTGTGGGGATAAGGGGTTCGCAGGCCCAGGAAATAAAAGGGGTAAGGAAAAGGTAAATTTTTCCATGAAAGTAAAAAGATTCGCCCTTTCCTCGAAAAATTTTAACAGGGGCCCCCTTTTCTTGGGAATTTTGGGGAGGTTTGGATTGGTTTGAGGTGTCGTTTTGTTTTTTTTGTTTTGTTTTCCACTTATTATTTGTTTTTTTGTTTACTTGTTGATACATGTGTTTATTTTGATAATATTATTAAAAAATGTATTACTTTGCTGTCTTGTTTCAGTTTGACCAAAAAAATCTGTTAGATATACAGTTGTGTAAAAGTCTACGCACGTCTTCATTTTTGGCACATTCTTTATTTTTTTTCCACCTCCTCCTACCGAAAAATTTTTTTTTTGTGAAAAAGTTCCAAATGAAAACAAAATGAAAAAAAAAAATTTTTTGGTTGGGGTATGTCTTTACACCCCGAGTTAAATTTCTTGGGGGAGCACCTTTGGCGACTTACAGCTGTGAATATTTGGAAAATAAATTCTACAACGTTGACCCAAATCTTTCGGCAAACATACACCACTGGCCGTTTATTTTTGGTAAACATCTAGTACCGGATTCGGCCCCCCTTTGCCCCAAATGGGGGAAAACTTTGGGGCATGGGAAACGTTGCTAAAGGGGACAAATGCCAAACTGTGGGGAGGGGAAAAAAATTCCCCACACCATTTACCCCCACTACCGCCAGCATGTTCCCCCCACACCGGAAAAGGTGGGGATATGGGGCCATGCCGTTTCCCCCAAACCGACGCTTTTTTTGATTCTTGGGGTATTAAAAAAAATCTACTTTTAAAAAAAAATATCCCCTCATAACATGGTTTGGGCCCCTTAACAAAAAGAAGAACCGTACCATGGTCGATATAAGTTTTAAATGTATTTCTTTGAGTTTGCATCCCAAAAGCCCTGAAAACTCCGAAGAAGCATCTCAAGGGCCTGGGTGGCCTACCAGTCCCAACCCCGAACCCCAATAGAACATCTTTTGGGGGAGCTGAAAGTCCTTATTTCCCAGCGACGCCCCGAAAACCGAAAGGGTCTGGGGGGGGGGTCTGTTGAGGAGTGGGCCAAAATCCCCGTGGCATGTGTCAAAAACCGGTCAAGACCTACAGGAAAAAAATATTTATCTCTGTAAAGCAAAAAAAAGGTTTTATACCAAATATTAAGTTTGCTTTTCTGAGTATCAAAAAACTTATGCTGCAAAAATCAAAAATTTTACTTAAAAATCATACAATGTGTTTTTTTTGGATTTTTGTTTTTGTTCCCCTCTCCACAGTTTAAGTGTACTATGATAAAATTACAGACCCCTCGTTTTGTAAGTGGGGGGAAAACCCGCACATTCGCATGCATCAAACTTGTTTTCCCCCCCTCTATGTGAAAAAGGGGGGACGCAAATTATATCGACCCCATTTCTCACCACAAAGAGTAGAAAACCCGCTCACATGCTTTATACATGATTTTACTATTAGATGTTCAATGTTTATTTTCAAAAAATATTGAAAAAGGGAAAGTATGAGGTACCGCACCACCAGTAACCCATCATCAAATCGCAAATCACAGACCACCGCCCAGCTCTCTGTTCTTGGGAATAATTATATTGAAACATGTCGATGAGAGTTTTATAAGCCAATATCACTCTTAAAACCTGGTCAGTGTGGAAATAAATCCCTCTAAACCAGTTACAATATAGATCAATATCAGCTCATTAAACCTGGATCGGATATTAGAAAATCCCTCTCACTAAAACACAGTTACAATATAGATCAAATACACTCGTATAAAACCTGAGTTCTAAGAATCCCTCTAGTTAGCAGTAGGTACAATATAGAGCCATATCACTCGTAAACTGGATCAGAAAATCCCTCATAAACCAGTAGTTACACCCCATATCACTAATACATTCTGGAACAAAAAAACACATTCCAGTTTCATGGACTGCGTGAATGAAAATTAGACTTGGTACAGGTTCAAAAACTGCTTGGAAATGGAAAGTCCTGCGACTTCTCCACATTGAACCACAGCCAGGGAGGATGGCGACATGACTACTCACATTGAACCACAGCCAGATAGGATGGCACCATGACTACTCCACATTGAACCCAGCCAGAGGATGTACTACATTTACGACTCCCACACTTGAACCCAGCCAGAGGATGATACATTACACCCACATTGAACCAAACCAGAGATGACTACATACTACTCCACATTGAACCCCAGCCGGAGGATGGCTACAATTAGACTCCACCCATTTGAACCACAGCCAGAGGATGACTACTACTACTACACATGAAACACAGCCAGAGGCTGACACATTTAATACGCCAAATTGAACCACAACAGAGGATTAACTACATACTACTCCAATTGAACCACTAGCCAGAGGATGGCTACATATTTACTCCACAGTGACCACAGCCACGAGGATGACTCATTACTATCCACATGAACACAGCCAGAGGATGTGGAATACATACGACTCCACATTGAACCACAAACCAGAGGATGACTACATTACACTCCACATGAACCACAGCCAGAGGATGACTACATTACTACGTCCACATTGAACCCCAGCCAGAGGATGACTACATTACTATCTCACATGGAACCACAGACAGGTAGGCATTGGGACTAAATTACTAACTCCACATTGAACCACAGCCAGAGGATGACTACATTACTACTCCAATTAACCAAGCAGAGGAGACTACATACTACTCCACATTGACCACGACAGAGGATGACTACATTACTAACTCCACATTGAAACACAGCCAGAGGATGGCCTACTACTTTCCACATTTGAAAACCAAAGAGGATATGACTACCTACTACTCCACATTGAAACCACAGCCCAGAGAGTGGACTACATTACTACTCCACATTGACCACAGCCACAGAGGGATGACCTACATTACTATTCCACATTGGAACACAGCCAGAGGATGGATACATTACTACTCACATTGGCATGAACCACAGCCAGCAGAGGATGGCTACATTACTAATCACATGGAACAAACTGCAGTTCTCATATTGTGCTCATATGGTAAGTACGTTATTTTTGTTGCATGAATGGAAAAATAAAAGGAAAAGCATTACTTGCGCCAGAGTTAACAGGCATTGTGAAAAACACAAGGCTCGTCCGTAGGTGAAATCAGTGAATTAGGTAGTTATATCCTTGGCGGTCTGCTGTTCTGATAGTTAGATGTCCAATCCATAGGGGTTCATAGGGTTATGTATCTCTCCTACCAATAAGTTGCCTCCGTTTGAGGGGCACTATCCAACGAGGGGGGCGGGCAATTGAAAAAACACGAGAACAGGGGGAGGGGTAAGGGGGAGGGGGTATTGGGATTGCGACCTGGTTTTAACGATGTCGAGAGACCTGAGGGAGCCGGAGGGAGGCGATCCAAAGGGCCGTCAAATCTTCTGTAGTTCCTAGTTATCCAGGCCCAAACACTAACAAATGTACAGAAGAGATAAAGATTTAATGGAAGGGTCCAGAGTTACAAGAGCCGTCTGGGAGAAAATAGGTGGTGTGGATTGGTTTTTCTTGGGTATTTCCAATGTATATGATATTGTAATATCTGGTACATTGGTTATGGGTTGACCGTAACGAGTGAGGACTGGGTAGACCAACTCGTGACCATAAACAGGAGGAGGTTTATGAACCCAGATTAACAGGAGTAGTGGAACCGGGTAAAAAATGGTGGACACCAAACAAAAGAAAGGGCTGGACCAGTGAAGCGAGGGACAGGGAAGAATAGTCGTACACCACTTTATTCTTCCAAATAACCTTGCCTATACTGCGTAGTGGGGCCTAATGATCAGGGTCACACCGGTTTCTGTGTGGTAGTTCTTAAAACAACATCTTATGTTGAAACAAAGTATACACACTTCACACACATGGGTTATGGGCTAACAAAAAGAAGGAGAGGGCACATGTACCATTCGTCAGAATATAGAAGTTGAAAATGTTATTCATGTGGAGTTTGCATCCTCAATATTACACTTTATAGACACTCAACAGACAGGAGTGAAATATTAACAAAATGGTGTTTTGACATAAAAGCACCGGCGGATGTCTTGAGGGTTTATTGAAGAAAAGAATTGTGTATTAATTAGAATTCTGAACAAATCTGGAATAAAAATTACACCCCATGAGGCCACTATGAGGGCGATCGATCTGGTCATGTGCAGACTGCAGGAAGGATACAGATAAAAGAAGAATAATGAAAGTATGATAGATGAATTCGAAACATGTCTCTGGTTGAGTGTGTTGATGCATGTACTGAATGATGAATAATGGAAACAATAAATGACTTTGCAGGTGACATGGCTACCTTGTCACACGAACCTGCTGTGCGACTCTCTATACTCCTCTGCGCCTCTCTCTATCTCTCTATATCTCTCTCTCTACTCTATCTCGCTCTATCTCTCTCTCTCTCCTTCTCTTCTCTCTCTCTCTCTCCTCTCTCTCTCTCTCTCTATCTCTCTCCTCTCCGTCTCTCTCTCTTCCTGTCTCTCATGTGCGTCTCGGCACCCCAATGGTGGAAAAAAAGCTCCCTCACGACGGACAGGACAGGGGGTCACTCACCACCTTCCGGAGGGACAACTTGAAAAGCCCCACCTCTTTAAGGGGGGGATGACCATGGGATTATGGGAAAAAGCTAAGAATCCTTCTGACCCACCCTTACCCACCCCACCCCCACAAAAATTTTTTTTTTTGTAATGGTATCCCACTGTGCTATTAAGGTGAATGACAATGTGAATAGTCGCTCTGGAAAGAGCGTCTGCTAAATGAGAGTAAATGTAATGTTAAAATGATAACTCTTATAATCTCACCCGGCACAGCCAGAGGAGGACTCGCCAGCCCCTCAAGAGCCGGTTTCCTCTGGGTTACCCAGTACAGCCAGTAAGGACTGGTCACCCCTCAGAGCTCCTGGTTTCCTCTTGACCAGTACAGCCAGTCGAATAAGAGGAGACTGGGTCAGCCCCTCAGGAGCCTGGTTCTATGTTCTACCCAGTACAGCCAGTAGAGGACTGAGTACCCCTCAGAGCCTGGTTCCTCTGGGTTCTACCCAGTACAGCCAGTAGAGGAGCTGGATCAACCGCTATCACGAGACTGGTTGACTCTCTACACCAGTACAGCCAGTAGCGGACTGGTCAACCCCTCAGAGCTAGGTTCCCTCTCTACCAAGTACAAGCCAGAGTAGAGGACTGTTCACCTCAGAGCCTGTTCCTCTGGTCTCCCCCCAGTACAGCCAGTAGAGGACTGGTCACCCTAGAGCCCGGGTCCTCTGGTCTAACCCAGTACAGCCAGTAGAGGACTGGTCACCCCCCAGAGCCTGGTTCCTCTCTACCCAGTACAGCCAGTAGAGGACTGGTCACCCCTCAGAGCCTGGTTCCTCTCTACCCAGTACAGCCAGTAGAGGACTGGTCACCCCTCAGAGCCTGGTTTCCCCTCTACCCAGTACAGCCAGTAGAGGGACTGGTCACCCTCAGAGCCTGGTTCCTCTCTAGGGTTCTTCCTAGGTAATGACGAATGATGATGAGGATTATGGTGGTGGTGGTGGGTGTGGTGATGGATGGGTGGGTGGGTGGGCAGATGGATGGGTGGGTAGGCGGGGTGGATGGGTGGGTAGGTGGGATGGATGGGTGGGTAGGTGGGATGGATGGGTGGGTAGGCGGGGATGGATGGATGGGGTGGGCAGATGGATGGGGTGGGTAGACGGGATGGATGGATGGGTGGGCCAGATGGATGGGTGGATGGATGGGTGGGGTGGGTAGGCGGGGATGGGTGGGTAGGCGGGATGGATGGATGGGTGGGCAGATGGATGGATGGATGGATGGGTGGAGGAGGTCCTATCAAGGTGGAGGAGGTCCTATCAAGGTGGTTAGCAAGGTGGAGGAGATCCCGGCATTATATACCACTTACACCTATCCAATCTTGTCAGATCTGCATGAAGTGTCCTAGGCACTAAAGGCTAGGGGTTGATTTGGTACCTGCCACCTGTGTGTCTGTTAGTTGACTAACACAGTGTTACCTGTCCCCAGGTGCCTGGGTCACAGCTACAGACCTGCCAGAGATCCTGGGTAACCTGAGAGCCAACCTGCTCCGTAACACAAGAGGGCGCTGTAGGTACACTCCCCAAGCTGCAGCTCTGTCCTGGGGTCCTGACGTGGAACGGACTTACCCCAGATCCGTCTATCGCTATGACTACGTGCTGGCGGCTGACGTGGTGTATCACCATGACTACCTGGAAGAGCTGCTGTTCACGATGAGATACTTCTGCCGTCCAGATGATTGATTGGTTGGTTGAATGGTTGATTCATTGATTGATTCATTGAACAGTTTAAAAGGACAACAAATCCCAGAGTATAATGCACGAAAGCATTAAACAACGCTTATTTCTAATGTGGTCCTCAGGAACCACTCTGATCTGGGCCAACACGGTCCGCCTCGAGACAGACCTGAGCTTCACAGAGGACTTCCAGAACACCTTCAACACCACACTGCTGGCTGAGATGGGAGAGGTCAAGATCTTTAAGGCCACGTGTCGACAAACAGAGGAGGAACCAGAGCTGGTCCGAGGAACACAACAGGAAGAGGAGGAGTTGGTGGAAAAGACCACAATCATAACAAGGAAGCTGAAGAAAAGCACAAAAACTTAAAAGGAGGATGTTGCGACTTTCAGCTAATTAATATTCCAGATCATTTACTGATTCATTACTGGAATAATGATCTGATTTATTTGATTAATTTGGTTATCCTATCCAGATTCATCTGAGAGGGGCACCATCAAGGGTTGGATATAGAGACCCTTGAATTATCCATCAGTAGTTATAAATAACTGTTATACTGTTAATACTATCAACAATATAAATCAATATAAAATATCAATTTATATCAACAATATTAAATCAGTCAGTTACTATATTCTCATTCTGAACAGTTATTGAGCTCTGGAACCTCAAGAACCCAAATCGCTCACAAATAAACTCAATGCCACAAACAATTCATTCAGGGTTTTATTTACTAGACTAAATAAGTTGGAAAATGTGGTTGCCAGTGGAATACAATACCGTTACTGAGGTGAGAAGTTAAATACGGGCAACATGAATAGGCTTTACTCAGGTAAATACAACAACACATTCACAGGACTTTTGAGAATGACATGATTATTTAAAGGGGCGCCGTTAATAACAGAACTGTGAATCTTGGCCTGGAATGTGATACTTAGGGGATATCTGTTTTCCACCAGCCACAACTAAGGAGCCTGGAATCCACTCATCGTTACAACAAGGTGAAGAGGTCTTAGTGAAGGAAGAGGAAGAGGAAGACCGTGAGTTGGAGGAGGGGAAGGAAAAGGACAGACAAAAATAGTTCGTTTGAGGGATGCAGAGACCAGGAACAGCAGGATCCTACCTCTGAATCTGAGCTCCAAGGCCATGGTGAGCATTCAACCCACTGTCAAAATACAAGGTACAAAACACCAGGGACCTTGTTTTGTTTTGTCTAGCTACGTGATTTGTGGTTTTCTTATGTTTCTTGTTCAGAGGAGTCAGACAATAAGGACTCAAATGTCCCAGCAGCAAGAGAGACCAGTCTGGGTTGAGGAGTTTGTTGTGGAGAAAGACAGGTCAGAGGAGCAAGACAAGAGTTTGGAGAAGGAGGAGGAGGAGGTGGAAGAGGAGGGAAGTAGCCAAGGATGTGATGAGCAGACTCTGGAGCATAGTGATGAAGGATATTACATTTACATTTTAGTCATTTAGCAGACGCTCTTATCCAGAGCGACTTACAGTTAGTGAGTGCATACATTTACATTTTTCATACTGGCCCCCCGTGGGAATCGAACCCACAACCCTGGCGTTGCAAACTAGCTAGCTGTGCCACTAGAGATCCTGGTTCGAATCCAGGCTCTGTTGTAGCCGGCCGCGACGGGGAGACCCATGGGGCGGTGCACAATTCGTCCAGGGTAGGGGAGGGAATGGCCGGCAGGGATGTAGCTCAGTTGGTAGAGCATGGCGTTTGCAATGCCAGGGTTGTGGGTTCAATTCCCACGGGGGGCCAGTATGTAAATGTATGCACTCACTAACTGTAAGTCGCTCTGGATAAGAGTTTCTATCTCCATGACTACCTGGAGGAGCTGTTGGTTACCGTGCAAACACTTCTGTCGCCCAGGAACCACTCTGATCTGGGAAGACCTGACCTTCACTCAAGACATCCAGAATGCCTTTAACACCCCCCTGCTGGCTGAGATGGGAGAGGTTAAGATCTTTATGGCCACGTGCAGAGAAGAGACAGAGGAACACCTTCAACACCACCCTGATGGCTGAGTAGGGAGAGGTTTAAGATCTTCATGCCCATGGTGCAGAGAGACAGAGGAACACCTTCAACACCCCCCTGCTGGGCTGAGATGGGAGAGGTTAAGATCTTCATGGCCACGTGCAGAGAGACAGAGGAACCACCCTCAACACCCCCCTGTGGCTGAGATGGGGAGAGGTTAAGATCTTTATGGCCACGTGCAGAGAGACAGAGGAACTTCTTCAACACCACCCTGCTGGCTGAGATGGGAGAGGTTAAGATCTTTTGGCCACGTGCAGAGAGACAGAGGACACCTTCAACACCCCCCTGCTGGCTGAGATGGGAGAGGTTAAGATCTTCATGGCCACGTGCAGAGAGACAGAGGAACACCTTCAACACCACCCTGCTGGCTGAGATGGGAGAGGTTAAGATCTTCATGGCCACGTGCGCAGAGAGACAGAGAAACACCTTCAACACCACCCTGCTGGCTGAGATGGGAGAGGGTTAAGATCTTTATGCCCACGTGTTAAAAGGTAGGGGTTAGGGAAGATTAAAGGAATAGTCGACATCCTGCCGACTACGCCAAATGTAACCAAGACTTCCTGTCCCTTCTTCCTCTGAGAAATGCTTGAAGGCAGAAGGCGGGCCATCTTGGGGTAATAATACTGGACGTTGATGGACTGCTGACTTTGTCAGTTGTTGATGATTGATTTGTACGTACTACTTACCTACTATATGTAGTGGGTTTTTTTTACTAGTTGATACATGTAGTTTATTTTGATAATATATTAAAATGTATGTACTTGCTGTCTGTTCCATTTGATCCAAAATAACTGAATCTTGGAATT